ACAAGGGAGAGACAGAAATCCTCTAAAGCAGGATTTTGGAACAGGAGCCCAGCTTGGCTGTTTAAATCAATTCTCCATGTTTCAAGCCTGATTCCCATCCTGCCATGTGGTCTGTGGGAGAAAGTTGAATTTTGAATGAGACCCCAGCCAGGAGGGAAAGGTAGAGAGCCAGGAGGGAAAGCTACAGAGCCATCATCACTGGGAGCCTCCAGCTGCTCCTGAAGCCTTTTTATACAGTTTTGACTGGGTTGTCAATTTGTGCCAGTGGGCTGCTTCCTCCAGCCTGCATCACAGCTTTCTTGGAGCATACATCTTTCCCAGCTTCTCATTCTCACTTCACTTTCCCTCCTTTTCTTTTTCAGCTTCTCTTCTTGGGAAACCTCCCATGTTCAGCCCTCCACAGCCTCAGTGCCAGCACACTGGCTGCTGTGACCGTGCTGTTGTCTCCCACTGTGAGCTCCACGTCTCCCTTCTGCTGCATGGCCAGGCCAGCAGCACGGCTCAGGCTGCTGTGAGAGAGCAGAACTTGTCTGCTGGCTTGGCTCTGCAGCACCTGGGACAGTAGAGTCTCTTCTTGGCCACTGGTAAGGCATGACTGCAGCAAACAGAATGTCCCTAGAGAGACATATGCAGAAACCCACGCAGTCTTCCACTGGAATATATGATTGTGCCAGGCCTCAGAGTCCCAGGTGGATGCCTGGAGAGTCTGGGGAAGGAGACGTGAGCACTGAACCTTTCCAACTTCACTTTGTACGTGTTTGCTTTATGAAAGCCACACACACACCCCCCAATCAATTGTTTTTTTCATGAGACTCAGATAAACAGGAGGTGATGGTGCTTTAAGTCAGCAGGAGTGAATAAGAGAGATAACAAAGGCAACAGGATAAGGAAGCTCACATCAATAAGATGAGAGCATAATTTTTCTATCTTCTGGAACTTTCTCACTTTAAATGTCTTGCTTTCATTTTTTCGTGTGTGTTAATAATTATAAGCCAAGAAACTAACACACCCAGTCTCTGTGCAAAGTTAACTCTTTAGGTGTGCATTAAAAAAAACCAAAACATTGAGGCTATTATACTAATACAGATAGGGAGAGACTGTGGTCTGATCTGCATTTGTGGGATCAAACAAGATCAGCATAAATTCCTGATAATAGCACAATTGCATTGTACTAGGGTTTATATACTGCTTTCAATATACTAGTTTCAAGCCTATATTTAAAGCAGTACAAACACTGCATGTAGGCAAACACTTGGGAGTGTTTTTGTTCTTCAAACAATTGTAATCAAAGGAGCAGTACTGACCCCACTCCAGTCAGTGGGAGTTTCACTAGACATTGTTTTCAGATTTCTTTCAGCTCCTGGAAAAATTTCTGTTAAGTCAGAAGGCTTTCATAGTGCAAACAGCTTTTCGAGGTTAGGGGGGGAAAAAAAAGGGAGAAAAAAAGGAAATAACACCGACTGATCAAAGGCAAATCTATGTCTTCGACGCCTACATGCACATTAACACCTCATTAACACTACTTGTACCTACAGAAGAAGTCAAGGATGGGAATGGCTCTGGCACAAAGTAAACAAGTCCTAGGCAGAAATATTGCTTTTTTCTTCTGATAGTACCAGAAATAGTGGGTCCTTGACTTCAGTAGCTTTATTCTTACCATTTATGAGAACAGAAATGGAAGATTCCAACATTCAGTGATAAAGAGTTTCTAGATAAGAACTCTTAACAATCATGATAAAAACAAAAGCAGCAAATTGAAGAGAACAAGATAGGGGGTTTTTTTAAGCTTAGTATCTATTTACAGTATGATAAAAATATCAGAATAGTCATTTGGAGAAATAACCTTCAAAAGTGTCATAAAATCTTGCAAATGTTTCGTAGCCCTGAAGGCAAGACATCATTAGAAACTGTGATTGCTCAAATTCTCTATTGATAATTCTCAGCTCTCCTGGGAATTCCATTTTCACAATATGGTGCCACGCTTTTGCCAAGAAGCAGAACTGCGGCTTCCTCTTCCTACCTCCACCTGCTCCCAGCCACTTTCCTTGCTATACTTGCAACTCAGCCACCTTTGCAAACCTCTTCAAAACACTAAACCAGCTGAAAAAAAAACATAGTGGAAGACCAAGATGCTGCCTCAGTGGCCTGGAGGGCTGCAGCCTGGAGGGGCAGGCAGAGTTAGCAAGTTCTTATCTTGCATGTCCCTTGCTGATCCCAAAGCTCAGAGCAGTCAGGACGAGGATGTGCTTGTGCATATGTGTGCAAGTTGCTGAGGAGAGAGTCCTGCATTAAGGCAACCATCATTATCTGCCTTTCTGTATGTTTTATTTTGCCAGGGCTTAAGATTGGGATAGGATCTGCTGAAGCTGTGCAGGATCTGGGGTTTTACTGGGATATCTTGTACCTGATCATTAGCAGGCAAAAAGAGAAAGCAAACCTACTTTGGGCTCATGCTGAATCTGCACCCATTTCACTTCTCTAAAACCAATTTTGTTAAACTAGATCAGATGTTCTTATACTGACTTAGCTAAAATCAATTCCTAATTGATTAAAGCTAACTTGAAATAAAATTGCCTAGGCTATAATAAAGGGTGACCGTAGCAATTTAACTGACTGGATTTAAAATAACCCCATCAATTAAGCAGCTACAACTGTCGAGCTTTTCATGGCAGAATTTGCTTCCTCCTCTGTGCTCAGGAAGCATTAAGTGCAATGGGGACCTAATCCCAATTAGTTCAGCTGAGAACTGCTGTGGGAAAACAGTAACCAATCCAGAGTGAAGCTTATCATGCAAGGCGCTGGGCTGGAGAACTGGGTTCTGCTTTCAGCTTTCCAGTTAGCCGCTTGCAATGCCTCAGGCAGGATATCCTCCCTGCTTGCCAGTTATGAGCAGAGAAGGCAAATTCCTGCAGACAGGAGCTGTCTCATACCTTGGATTTGCAGGGCACTTTGCACCAAAGGGCTAAGTGTTGTCCAGGTCCTTGGAATGCAGGTATTAACCAGGTATTTGTCTTTACACACTGAGGAACACTAGCGTTGCACTTTCTCAACAGTTCAGTCAATTTTTTTAAAATTTATATATCTTTATAGGTGAGACAAACTCAAGCCAAAGTTTGATTTTCTCCCTTTTAATATCTGGTGTCCTGTTCCCAAAGTCACATCCATATGGAAAAAATTACACACAAAAAAAAATCTGCTTCAAAAACACTGTTTCAGCCACAAACCTGCTGATGAAATTTGGCTCCTGTGATTTGGTTTGCTAACAACACATTTGGATACTCTCATAGGAAGAATCTGCAGTACAGCTGAGGTTTAGCACCAGCTCATAAATAAGGGTTTGGGGAGGGAAATAACACTTGACTGCTTTCTATGCCTTCCCTGTGCCCACTGGAGCCATTCCTGCCAAGCTGGAACCAGCACCAGGTTCAGAGCACCCCAAGTTTTTAGCAGACAGCTCCATTATGCTCCTAAATTACATAAACTTCTGTGAATAGGTGTTTGAAGCACTGAGCACTAAACATTTTCTGTCTGTGAGACCAGCACCTTCTACTCGGTACACCAGTTACTGCTGGGAATGAGGGTGGCTGAACGCTTCAGGGAGGTGCATCCATGCAGGCCAGCAAAAGTTAAATAAATTCTCTCCTTCAGTCCTCTGTGCTGCATATCTTTTCTCTGCCAGCCCACAGGGAATTGAAAAATACCCAAACTGCTTAACTGCTTATTCAGAACAGACATGAGCCAAAGCTGGAATGGGTTATGCAAACTATCCTGAAGACCGCATTTGCTGGTAAAAAAGGATTCAAATCCAGGCCACCCTGTCTTTGTTTCTGCAGAACCAGGAGTCAGACAGTGATTTTCTCCAAAACAACCAGAATCATTCTATGTCTACTTCATTTCCACATTTTGATTCCCTGGTTTGCCATCCATCCCACACAACACCCTTTCCCTCTGCCTGCCAATCACTACATCACACTTCCAAAATTTATTTACCTTGTATTAGCCACATAAAGAGGGCTTTCTTCTTTTCATGGTCCTACTCAAACTTAAATCTATATTCACCTCCTTACAGAACAATGATAAGAAACTATTAAACATTTAAAATACCGTACTTACATTTATGCCTAAAATCTAGTTCATGGCCAATGAGAGAAATTTTCCAAAATACTGATTCCTTTCCTTTGATTCCTTTGTTTTGGTTTGGTTTGGTTTTTCTCCCATGAGTAACTATTTAGCTACTTAAAACTTCTAAATTTGAATTCTCTTTAAGGAAGTAAAGTAAACACTAATGGAATTCCAGTGAAAGATATACAAGTCACTTATTTCCAAGTGTGAGACTAAAGCAAGACATGTACATTGGTGTGGTTATGTATCAATATACATATGTTGTGCCTCTGTATGTACACACACATGTACATGTGGATTTACATTCTTTGCACACTGAATTATTTACGTACTTGAAATAGATTTAAGTTGCACAATTCAGCCTAAATCAAGTTTGAATCTTCTCAAGTTTCTGAGGTATTTGGATCTAAGCCTGGTTTTCAACACATAAAAAAATGGGTCCTATTCAAATTTAAGAATCCATTTAAGGCTCAAACATTTCTCACCAGTAACCTTTCCCAGAGTGGCAATGAAATTTGAGCTTTGCAGATGAGACAAGGTCACATGAAAAATACAGGAACATTATGTCTCTACCAAGATGACATAGGAAGATGGCATTCAAATAAGCAATTGGGACTTCTGCTAGTGTAAATCAGCATACCTGTATGGAAATCAAGATACCACACAAAGAAACACAACAATTTCAAACTCACATTTTTATCCTTTGTTATGAAAGTAAACAATACTAAGTCAATAAAGTAAAATTACAACTCTTTTAATGTGATTTCTTTAAGCATTGACAGGAATTTCACTTTTTCCTCTGTGTAATCAATGAACTGCCTTTGTGTAGGTTCTTCACACAGTAACAAAGGACTGTGTACATGGATGTGAATAAATGATGAGAAATGGTCATGAAAAATCAGGAATAAGAACAAAGAAGCCAAGAAACAAGTGCTACATTAGAGAGATCTTTTATTTTTGCAATTGACCACATTCCAAGTCAAAGTTGTCCCTTTCTTATCAGCCTTAGTATAGATTTCTCCTAGCTGCAGTTCCAGCACTTAAACACAATAAACTACTATGCTCACATGTTAAAACATAATTGTATTAAATGTCCTGCTGAAGACAATTAAATCCTGGTGAAGGCACACTGTTCTTTTCCATCTGTAGCCAAGGCCTGGGCAGACCTGAGCACCAAGGAGGCTGAATTGTCCTCACACCTCATCACTTAGGGGCAGTAGCAGCCACAGCATCAGCACTTGGTGTGACAGCCAGCCCTCTGTCTCTATCAGCTTGATTTGCAGTTTACCACAAGGAACTGCAATAGTTTGCACTTGAATAATAAATACATAAATAAACTGGCATGAATAACACTCCTGGGAAATCAGCAATGAATTTCCAGGTCTATTTCTTACTAGGAAAAAAAAAAAACAGGGAGAGAGAGAAAGGGAGAAGATAGATTACTGGGAGAGAATTATGCTCCAAACCTTTCCTGGTCACGGAGTATTGACAGAAAAAGAAGTGCTGAACTGTGGGCTATTTGGAGATGCATTTGTCAGTCAGTGCACAACTTCCCCAAAATCTGTACTTTGTATTTGTTTAATGCTATTAGACACGAGAAAGATTTTTAGAAAACTGAGAGACAAAATTTATACCTGAAATTAGTATTTCTGACTGATTTTCCTTCCTCTGGGTTATTTCTACAAATCAGATATTGTGAATTCTTATCTTGTTCCCAAATCAAATAACTCAAGTGAGTGGCAAAGGCAGGGTTTGAAAGAGGAATCTCCAATGGTCTGTGCCTCAGAGCTGCAGTTTATTCTCTTCCTCCTCAACTTTGAGGCTGCTTCATTAACTTGGACTTACATTCCAGCCTCAGCTCCTGCTGTAGAGAGAAAAAAAAAAAGGATGAAAGAAAACTTCATCACGATCCAGCCAGACCTTGAAAAATTAGACCCAGTGAAGAAAAGAATACATTCGGAACTCGCAAAGACATTTTTTTATTGGTCTTGTAATTTCCTCACTAAACACGCTTTTAGCAGCCTGCCCCTCTCAGAATCTTAATTATCTGTCGGCCCCTCATAATGGCCCCATTCATGGTTCTTCAGAGCAAAAGCCCTGTGATATCACAAGCACAGGAACTCAGAAGATACAGCATGTTCCTGAGGAAGGGCTGCACACCCACAGATAGCTGGCAGAGGGAATTTGCTACTTGGAGAACATAATATAATACAAATATGTAGATTTTTTTCCCTTCTTTCATTTTTTCCTGAAGCAAGAAAGAAGAGATGCTGTGCCTGAGCTGTGTATAAAGGCAAAAAAAAAAAAAAAACAAAAAACCTCTGATATACAGTTCTGAAAGAAAGTAAATATTATAGGCTCTCCATCTCTCTCCCGTACCATTTCTGACTGTTCATTGACTACCATAAATTAATATGACTTGATATAGTGTAAGGGCTGGAGACATTTTATGAGCTTCTGGAATCTTTTCCGACAGGAAATGTGAAGCATCACTTATGGTTCAAGATTATTTTTTTTTGTTTGATTTATTTGGAAATGAACCACATGCTGAAAATATTTCATTTAAATCAAAACTAAGAATACCAAGTTGGTCAGCATCCTTGAGAACTGGCCATTTTTAGTGAATCCAGTACATACTTCTACAGACCCTTTCTATGATAAAAGAAAGAAGAAAAGTACTACTCTATCACTAGCTCTGAGAGTCTGCTACTTCTCAAGTTCCCACTGATTAATTCTCTCCAGGTACTTTTTGTATTCAGTTTTGCTTCTTAAATTTGCAGTCTGGCTTTGTCTCACAAAAAAAAAGTTAAAAAGAAAATAAGAAAAAATAACAGAACACCCTCCCAAAAAAAAAAAAAAAGATATACCAAACTTTGAAAGAAACCACATTGTATGCAAAATAAAGTCCAGAAAATTATATTGAATCACATTAAATAAAAATCTTGCCAAAAAGCTGTAACTTTAAGCAATGTAAGAATTCTACCAAAATATTCACTGTTCAGGGGAAATATCAACTCTATATGTCCATACTTGTCTTGGGATGACAGTTAAAGTTGATATTCCAATAGAAATGCTCCCTCTTACTTCAGGATCTGCTGTCCCAAGTCTACTCATTAAAGATTGACCAAGGTCCTAGGAATATCTACCAATTTTTATTTTAGCAAATGTGCTCCTTCCAGAACTGGAGGGCTAGCAAAACACCATGGAATATGAGCCATATTCCTAGCTGGAATAGCAAAATAAAAGTGATCCCAGAATAATGATAAGAATGACGGGTGACAGAAAAAAGAGGAGAAAAAGGTTCATGCAGAAGCCTTGAAAAATAAATTTTAATTTGGATCCAGTTTATCACACCTAAAATTTGTATTTTAATATTAAACCTGTTGTGTCTATTATGTGCAGATATGATCCAGGTCAATTCGCGTATCAGAAATATCCAAATTAAAAACAAAGCAAGCAAACAAAAATAAAAAGCCCACCCACAATCAAGGATACAGAAAGGCATTTGGACCTCTGAGGGTATGTGTAGATAACTCCACCCTGAAGACCTCCAAGCAGTAAGACAAGGAAAATCATTACAAAATTGGGTTTTGGGGCAGGACTCCTTCCCAGAGTCCTGTTTTTAACCCCCAGGGAGGCCACCTGAGAGACAACTGAAAGCCAGAGGCTCCTCACACGTATCCAGCAGCCTGTGCATGAGCTGCTTCAGGGACCAGCTTCAGGCTGGTCATGCTCCAGGAGCCTCATGGCATCAATGAGTGCCAAGCCACCACCAGCACACTGGCACCTTGCAAGCAAGACAAAGGAACGTAAGAGAAAGAAACAGATATTCTCAGTGGTCTGGAAAATGTGTCCTCCAGAAGAGGGTGAAGAGCAGAGTGTGTGCGTGCCAGGCTACCCAACTGCACCTGCTCTAGACTGGTACAGTAGCATGTCTCCACATTTCATTAATGATAAATTCCCATGTTAAAGGGGGGATCACTAGAGAGAGTAGATTGAAGGAAAGCTCAAGTTAAACAGTGAGAAATTCACCTAATACTTGCATTTACCAACTGAAGCCCAGAGTTTTGCATCTCTAGGCAGAAAGAAATTGACCTCTTCACAGAAGTGGTGCACTGAAGATGTTTAATAAATTGCTTCAGAAGCAGAATCAGTTCTGAACTTAACACAGGTGTCTCAGGGAGGAAAAATGCACATAAAAGGACTGTGCAAAGTGCTGACAGCACTAGCTATGTGAGAGACAATCAAGGTACTTAACGTTTTAAAACACATGCCCTGCATAATAACCAACAGTTCCAGAAGCCTCTGTCACTCTTCCAAGCACTGAATTAAGAGAAGTGTCGCTGTATCAGGATCATAAAAGATATCCTTTAAGCCTTTTGCATAAATGCATGTGTTCTGAGATGGAGAAATGTGAACTCATATTCTTCGTGTATCCAGGGGCTATTTTCCCCCTGAGAAGTTGAGGGGAAAGGGAGAGCGGGGCACCACACTATTGATTTTCTACAAACACATTTAACCTTTAGCAGCTGCTGTCAGCATTTCCAGTGCTAATACCAACAGTGAACAAAGTAGCTGGAGGAGTGCAGACAGCTTTCTTCAGAGGTGAGACTCAGGAAATCAGAGATTCCTCTCTCAGTCTGGGAGGAATTGCTTTAATGGCTATACTGGAGAGTGTATGGATGCAGGGGAGAATGAGAGAGGAGAGATGGGGAAGTGTTCAGGCAATATTTCCTGCAGAAGTACCTGCTCAATAATTTCCCTGAGCCACTGTATCTGAGTCAATTAATAGTACTCACATCTAAAATGTGCATGAATCTTCTCATCAACATTTCCCTCAATGAGTGCAGTGCAGCATCAAAGAAACAGTGCCTAGGCCACAGGTGATGGGGCATCCACTGCCCAGCTTCCTGGCCTGGCAAAGGCTGATGGAAGCAGGGTGACAGGAGTTCTGCAAGAGGCAGAAGTTGAAATGGCTGGTAATAGCTTCTGTAGCCCTTCATTTCTAGGTCACTAGGTCGAATGCAGAAGCACACAAAAATCAGCTTTATCTCCCTCGCAGTCACAGGGAGCCCACAGGAAGGGAGGCAGTGCTTTCAGCCTAGCTCCTCCCAAGCCACTGCTTGCTCCCCGTTGTGATGGAGGCTGACTCCCTCTGGGACAGTCTCCCAAGGAACACATAACATCAAATCAGCATATAGATGGTGCTGCTTCCTGACACCTAAAATCCTGATTTGTGTTAGGCAGGCAATGTGTCCTCATCACAGTAAATTACAATTGACTTTAACTCTTGACCAGCTTACCCTCACTCAGGCCATTAATGTACCTCCACCAGGCATACCTCACACACCCCGCTGCTGCAGCTGCTCTCTGCAAAAGCAAACCAAGGCAGCAGCAGCACAGTGTCTCCCTGTGTCCCACACAAACACACACTGCTCAGCAAAGCAGGTCCATGTTCACTCCTGAGGCAAACACAGCACCCCCCTGCCATAGCCCAGAAATGGGCAAGGGCTGAGCCCCTCAGCAGAGCACTCACCCACAGCATTTGCTCCCTCTCACTTGGCAGCCAGGGCTGAGCCTTGGTATCGTAGAGTTACAACTGAGCTTTCTAAAATGTACTGGTTGCTATTTTTTTGTTGCTATTACCTCCTCCAACACAGTTTGGGCTTGCAATATTAAGACAGCTTGGGTTTACATACAGAGGGACTAAAATAGCTTTCCTGCTAAATAAGTGGTGCAAACACATAATTCGATGGTGCTGCGTGGCTCACAGGATTTATGGTCTCGCGTTTGGGATGAAGAGTGCAGTTCTCCTGTGCTGTTTCCATTATGAATAATGTGGCCATGCTAAACTCACACTAATAAAACCTGAATGTATCACTGCATTGTTCGGCACTCTCTGTAGGAGAAACCCATCCATTACTGAGGCCGGCACTGAAAATTCTTTGTAGCAGGAGCAGCACAGGGACAGCTTCACAGCAGCTATTCAGAGCCACTTTACAGCTTCCTGAGCAGAGCCCAGGCTGGGCTGCATGCCAGCAGTGTGGAAAATGGCTGGCAGAGGCTCTGGCCGCTGATTTGTAGGTCATGTGGATGCCCAGGGGAAGAGGGAGCAGGTACTGAAAGCACCTGTTAGAGAGTGCTTGCTGCATGCCACTGCCCATCTGAACCATTGGCTTCAGCCCACCTGTTGATGATTCCTCTGACAAAGCAAAATGACTGAGACTCTGCAAACTGGACAATCACCGCACTGCTTTAGCTGCTAAACAATTACTGGTGGCCACCAGAGTCTGCATGTAATGGAATATGAATCCCAATATAACCAGTTAGATTGTGCCTGGGTCAGTGTGACCCTCCCTGCTGAGCCAAAGGCGGCTTCTGTGGTGCTTTACCCCAGAGATACCTTGGCTGCTAGAGATTGCAGCGGGGCACTGGTGCAAGTCCAGGCTTGTCAGGAACTCCGTTTACCTCAGGAGAGAGAGCTTCTGGCGATGGTGAAGAGAA